ATCTGATACAATTTGATGAACTTGACCTACACCTATGGATGCAGTAGCTCAAAAGAGGGAACAAATCTTTACAGCAAGGATCATTCCCGCCCCCTCGATACATAGGGAGATAGGAATGGGCAACTTGGACATTAGCTACCCAAAGTGGGGTGCTACAACGGCATGATGTGACTAGCTTACAAGATTTCAAGAGGGAGCCTAGATCCAGAGGGCTCGGAGGAAGGTAGAATCTCCACTGAGTAGTATCCAATCTGTCTGGGCAGGGCTGATGAAAGGAGATGGGGATAGGTCTCTTGTGGTACAATAGTGAATAACTGTTATTAGGACTGACTGTGAGGGTTGGAAATGTAAAGGTAGACATTTTGTAGCAAAAGGAGGGGAGTGGTTGACTTTGCAGTCCAGGAGTAGAGGTCCCTGGGACCATCAAGGAATGCGGGACCCTACCCAGAAAAGCAGAGTCCTGGTGTGGCACTGTGGGTTAATGCGCCAGACTGCAAAGCTGTTTGAACTGCAAAGTCAGCAGTTCAAGCTCACCAGCTGCTCCTTGGAAACCCTATACTATGGGTTGGAATCAACTCGAGTAGTGGGGTGGGCTTGCAGGGTATATCCTTTGGTTAGCTGATGATGCATGGAGGGGATTATAACCATAGCAACAAAATGATATATGATAGGGTGAATGCAGAGCTAATGTTCTCTCACATAAACTATCATATAATTTTATTTATTATCAATAAAACATAAAAATAGGCACAACTTTGGTAAATGCTATAATAGATTCAATGTTACAACAACAACAGTAATTAACAACCAAAAAATATGTATGTGGTTACATAAGTAGATGTGTATGTATACAGGCCTGTAGAAAGGAAGACACATGTGGGTGCGTCATGTGTTGGTAGAGGTGTGGTGATATAGGATGCAGCACTGGACCACAAGGTTGGTTTGAACAACAAGGTCAGCAGTTCAAGCTCATCAGCCACTCCTTGGAAACCCTGTAAAGGGTCGCTGTGAGTTGGAACTAACTCGACAGCATTTAACAACAACAATGACAGATATATATGGCACACACAAATATGTATTTTCATATGCCTACAGTGCCAGACTGCAAAGCCATTTGAACTGCAAGTTCGGTGGTTCAAACTCACCAGCCGCTCCTCGGAAATCCTATACAGGGTCGCTATGAGTCAGAATCAAGTCGACAGCACTTAACAACAACAAAAACAGATACACTTGTGGGAGACAGATGTGGCTGTCTGCTCCCATAAAGATTTACAGCCTTGGAAACCCTAAGGAACAGATCGACTCTGCCCTATGAGGTAGTTATGGATCAGAATCAACTTGATGGAAGTGTGTTGTGGGTTTTTGGTTGTTGTTTTTTTGGGTTTTTTTTTTTTTTTGTATGTTGTTAAGTGCCATAAAGTCGGTTCCAACTCATAGCAACCCTGTATAGGGTTTCTGAGGAGCAGCTGGCAGGTTTGAACTGCCAACATTCTGGTTTGGAGCCCATTGCTTATCCTACAATGCCACATCAAGAGTCTATATATATATATATATACAGGTATAATAAAACATGGAGGGGCACAATAATAGAGACTTCCTAGATATATCCAAGCAAATAGAGCTGGTTCATTAGATTGAAGAATTTAGGACCATGTGTCGTGGGCTATCTTAGTCAATGGCATAACACAGTTCATAAAGTTAATATTCTCTAGTTTAGTCAATAGCAAGTAGTTCTCTAAGATAAAACTACTCATCTCTACTCATCTAGAGTAAAACAGAATGAAGAAACTGGTCCACAAGACTAACAGCATACATGAACCATAGCTTCCTCTAACCTGAGGGCAGAAGAACTATTGTAACTTCCTCATATAACACGCTCATGTCATAAATGTGCACACACATACAACAGGCATAGGAAACTAATGTGAAGAAGTTGAGCAGTTTGTAAAACAAACAAAACTATACAACAGAAGGTCCCAGTTACAAAGGGAGAAAATCAGAACAAATCTCAAATTCTTAACAAAGACCAGACTTAGTGGACTGATGGAGTCCTGGTGTGGCATTGTGGGTTAATATGCTGGACTGCAAAGTCGGTTTGAACTGCAAGAAGGTTCAAGCTCACCAGAAGCTCCTCAGAAATCCTATGTAGGGTTGCTATGGGTCAGAACTGATTCAATGGCACTTAACAAAAACATCAGAAAGTGGACTGATAGAGACTGGAGGAACCTTTGAGACGATGACCCTAAAATAACCTTTTATCCTCGAACTGAAACTACCCCCAGAGGTTCCCTTTCTTTCGGACAACAGATTGGACTATAAAATAAACATTATCATCCAGGAGTAAGTGTTCCTTAAATAATTATCTCTTTGAACCCAAATGGTCAAAACTGACCTAAAAGCAAAGATAAGAGGCCAGGAAGGGAAGGGAAGTCAATCAAAGGAAACCAAACAAACAGAACAGAAATCATGAAAATGATAACACATTGAGAAAATTGCAATCAATGTCATGAAACAATTGGTACAAAACCCGTTCAATGTGACCTAATGCACTAAGAAAACTTTCACCAAAAAAAATTAATAAAATGTTGAAAATGTGTGTGTGTGGGGGGAAGGATATAAGAAAAGTTCTCTTAACAAATCTCTATCTAGCTCACTTGTCAGATAAACCTATGAAACTGGTGTGCTTGGCCCCAGCGGTGAATCTCATTAGAAATCTAAACTTTTGATCTACTTTCCTTCCCTAAAATGGACACATGTCAATATATTATCTGAAAAGTCAGTTCTGAAGTAATTTAACCACTATTCACCAAGAGAAGAGTTTCTTTCAAAGTTAAAATCTGTTGCTACTCAGTAAGAGCTCAATAAGTATTTGCTAAATGAACCGCTCTGCTCCTAAATCTTGCAAATATAAAAATTCACTTTACATCAAAGTCAACAGGAAGAGTACTTATTGGCAGGTAGCCTTACAACATTACATCCTGGGACGGATGTACGGCTTGGTGAGTAAAGTCTGGCCAAGAAAGTAACCTCATATCTTAGAGACTGGTGCTCAAAAAGCTGCAGAACCACTTTGACTATAAGTTCTAGCTCAACTGAACAGAAAAGCTGAACTTCCTGAGTTTGGTTTGGTTTCATTTTAAGTGATGTCTAAAGAAGACTGTTGCATTCATCAGCCTTTCCACATATCTGATCCATATGGGTTTAGAACTGTGTGTTTCCTGGCATGACAGAGCCTTAACATCCAGGGGTGAGGACCTGAGGACCATAAGCAGCACCACCACCCCATGGGCAGTATCTTAGCTCACTCACCAGCCTCAGAGCATTATCAGGGGAATCCAACCATGATGTTCCATCTCTGGTCACCGCAATGAGGCCAGTTAGTGACTTTTTTTTTTTT